CATTTCCTCAAATGTGTCTATGAAGTCAAAACTGCTTTGCGTAGTGCTATACTAAAATGTCAGAATTTATTGCACAAACAAAACACATTAGATAAGACGAAAGAAACACATTTCCTCAAATGTGTCTATGAAGTCAAAACTGCTTTGCGTAGTGCTATACTAAAATGTCAGAATTTATTGCACAAACAAAACACATTAGATAAGACGAAAGAAACACATTTCCTCAAAAGAGAAGAGGAATGTAACACGTAACATGTTACCAACACTGGAATATGAAGCTTATCCTTTGGCTGTAAATGTTTCAACTCCAGCATTTATTGTTGCCAGAAAACACGGACTTTCGACTTGGGTTTTGAATCTGAGTTTTAAAGCCCATTTTCATAAGCCTACATTAACATTCGCAGCTATAGTAGTCACTTATTATTCTAATAGTATTAAACGGTTTTTAATTGTAATGCGAACTGTAATCTCACTACATATCGATCTACGACTAGTGATAGAAGTTAACTAGTCTTTAAGTTTAGCTATAAATTCCCTAATTAGACTCTGGCTGATATCAAGACTCAGTTATTTTTCAGTTTAATCTCACGAAACTGGTTTGTGTTCCAGTTACGTCTAAATCCACTTCATGGAGCCCAGTAATAAAAATCAGGAAGTAGTGTAATCCCAGACTGCACAAACTTAAACTTGGTCGTATACTTTACGAGTTTTCTCGTAAATAGAACCTAGAACGTGAAGGGATCGTCCATATATATCTTAGGTGTTAGAACTGATATTTATTCTCATTTTCTCGCTTTCTCAAAATCTTTACGGCTTGTAATTCATATGAATACAATTAGAAAAAACAAATTATTACGATTTTTAAAATCATATTTTTCAACTTTTGTAATCATACTTTTTAAAATCCCCTTTAATGCAATCATTATGAAGCTAAGATTTTTTTAAATTCAAGAGAAGTTCGATCAGTCCTGCAAAGGGCAGAAAAAATGGTTACAAAAAAAGCATAAGAAAGTAACTTAATTAATCAACTGATATACTAGTAAGGTAAAAAAAATATTATACACTAAATATGTAGAATACTCAGTTAAATAAATATTACGTAGATAAGATAACAAATAAAATAAATACTACATTTATAGAGTACATACGAACACAGTATAATAACAACATTTCTACTTAACAACGAGTGAGGCTGGCTAGGAGAGGTTAAATATGATAAACAGTTTAACCCTACTCGTGAGTAGGTTCTTTCTACTTCTGCAGAAACCTCTGAAATCAAGATCTTGGTTCTTTGTTAATATTATTGGTGAAGTTCATTACGAATTAAATTATTTACATTATTCTATCCAGAAAAGTGTCACTATGTAAAAACACTGTTTAGCTTCTAATCTTTAGAGCTTAACAGTTATATAAAGATTAGCGTTACTTTACAGATTGATCTGGTTATGTTCACAGATATCGGTATATTACTTCCGTGTTTTCTTCCGGCAACACAAATCTCACAACTAAATCTATGTGCAGTATAGGATTTTCTCGACACGAAATTATTATTGCTGTAAATGGGTAGTCTTTAAGAGGCACATAAAGATTAACCTAAGCGGAACAGCGGCGCCTAGCGGGAGGGAAGCTCTTCCACTGATATTTATGAAGTGCTAGTTTCACATCGTAAAGCTACAGTTGTTGCTACTCAATACTGTAAACCAGTTTCTTGCCAGGCACCTGCTGCTTTATGAAGATTCTTTAAAACGTACTGTTAAGTGTATTCATGTGTTCCCCTGAGCATCAGAAACTTTCCGACCCGTAAATTGTGTTTAAAGAGAAAGAATTTCAACTTTTTTTTCTTCCCCTCATAAAAAAAAGAAATAGAGATCGTTTAAAACGTTGTAGAGTCTATAATAAAAAAACAAATAAACAAAATAATAAGTGTTTGTTTGTTTGTTTCAGAATTTTCGCACAAAACTAAATAAAGGCCTATCTGTGTGTAGCCGTCTCTAATTTTGAACTGATACATTAGAGAGAAGGAACCTTATTAATAGCACCCGCAGCAAACTTTTTCGTTACTCTTGTCTGAACGAGCAGTAAGAA